ATCGTAGTCGACATCGTCAGTGAGTATCGCCATTCTTAGCACCACACAACAACTCGTCAAAGAGACAAGTCTCGGTTTTGATTATTGGAATGTAAACAAGTGAAAAGTTGTGATATGGCGGTAGTGGGATAAAAGTGTAAAGAGTAGATAGATAGGCTAGGACAGAAATAGGAGTGATAGCTTAACCGTTTTCGGCTTCACTTGTCTCTTTGACGAGTTCGTAGTTTGGTGCGGAGAATGGCAAAACTCACTAATGATGCCGGCGAAACGTTTGAGAATGTACCAAGTACACTGTCTTGTGCTGGTAATCATGACAACTGCTATGGCAGACGACTTTGGACTAGTGCGTTATACTAAGTCCTCCTGACAATAAGACCAAGTTGCGACAACGAGGTCAAACCACTTCTTTTAGTTGAAAGGAGACTGCGACGATACCAGAAGCCCCACCATCTTGGTCTTCATATCTTCAATTAAACTGAGTAGTATTCCAAATTGTCAGTAGATCTTGGTTAAGAACTCGCCGCTTGATAGAGTAAACATGCCTTCTGGTAGACAATGCTAGCCACATGGAGGCTTCAATTCATTTCAACATGGGAAATTTGACTGTCAGATCTCACATCAAATTAAGCGACCTGGGTTAGCTCGAATTCTGTTATCCTAATTTTAGACTTATCCACATTATGCCTTTATGTGGTGTTGTCTATCAAAGAAACTTAAAGCAACACTAATTCGGTTGCGACAAATTTCCCTCTCGAAACGATTTCCTTTATCCGACTAATGAAGCTGCTACTTGGTCGATCCTACCAGAAGATGATGGCGGATTCCTCTTGACCAGTTGTCGATTTGCTTTACTCGAACATGCTTGTTGACGCTATTTCCGGGAAAGTCTCCTTCGATTCCAGTGAAAACATGCTAAGCTTTCGTCCGTCGTATAATTGACATCATCATTGTAGTGTATCATCCTTACAAGCATATTCAAGCTACCGAGTCAAGCCATTGTCTTTTGGTGGAATCGACTTTAGAATCTCTTCACCAAACACTTTCACTTCAAATGGAATTAAACTTGTCTTTATCTTTGCTCGTTTTCTGTTTTTTTTTCTTAACTGGAAATTTTTCTAACAAATCCCTTATCTCAAGAATACCATGCCTTGACTTTGCTTTTATAATGATGAACTCCGTGCAGCCCGGCGACACAAGCAGTTTGGCTGAGCCAGTCAATCGAGCTTTGGTATATGGCGTCAATGGTGTTGTGATGGTCAAGGCTGCCTCTTGCTCTACGTCCACAATCTCCACCGACACGGTTTCCACGACCGTTATGACCTTCCCTAATCCAACCGCTTCAAACAACACTCCCTCCTTCGGGCCACTTTCTATGCCAGCCAACACTCAGGAAGTTCAAGCTAGCAGCTTTATTTCTGGTGGTCACCTGCTCCGGCATCGGGGCCAAAAGAGTCGAAGTGAAGATTCACCACCGGCAGAGGTGACTGTACTACCGAATGGTATTGGCTCTCCGGAAGACCCTAGAGCTCCGATGCCAAGGGAACTGCTTCGAGAGCCCCCGATTATACTTCCTAAGCGATATTTGTCTTCGGGTAAGACTTTTATACTCATAACTATGCTCTAGCAGGTCCCGATTATTAGGGCATGGCGTAGACGAAAATCAGCGCCTTTTCAAATTTTGAAATACCCGATACTGACAACGAGGAAAATTTTTTATTCTAAAGCAAATCACATAAACGCTAAATATTTTTCGCAGTGACTAAACGTACATTTATTATAATTTCCTTACATTTAATATAATTTTCTAAATGGGTCATAATAAAATATACCAGTGGTTCCAAAACTTTTCCTAGTCGCGGCGCCCTTTTTCAATTAAAATTTTTCCATGGCGCCCTAACCTAAGTATGACTATTCGTAAGTAAGAAATAAAAATAAATAAAACTCGTGTATATTCATTATTTTTTACTTTATCAACATCAAATTAATATTTAATAAATAATGTGATGGATGAGTCTGCAAATCACTACACATTTTCTCAAATCGTGGAATTAAACTGGACACGGCCACCCTCAATTCCTTTTCCACGTTGATTTTTGCTCTATACTTGCTTTTTATTACAGCGACCGCCGAAAACCCAGCTTCGAAAATGGAATTAGAATCCGCTGAGCCTTATCATTTAGAAGGGGATATTCATCTCTTATTAAAATCCCGAATTCTGTCAATTCCACGCTGCCAAATTTTGCTTTTAAACTGTTATCGCAAGATAACTGGTTAAAGACATGCCTTCTTTATCTGCACTATTACGTTTATAACTGTTCAAAAATCT